CTTCTTCTTATCTCTAATCAAGGTAACTACGGTCTCATTTCTTGGTGAGTAGGCTTCCAACATAACCTTCACCACTTTGTAATCATCAAGCTCATCACATCCATAGCCTCTAATCTTGCCCACCAAGGTCATCAATCTATTAAACATCTCTTGTGGCCCTTCTCCATCAACAATCACGAACCTATTGAGCTTAGCCATCAACAAATCAATCTTTGCTTTTCTCACTTTATCAACACCTTCATGAGCTAGATGCAAAGTGTCCTAAATCTGCTTTGCAATATTGACATTCATCACTTGGTTGTACTCATTTCCATCTAAGGCACTAAGAAGAATACTTGTGGCTTGGCCATTGAGATGGACAGCAGCTAGCTCCTCATTTGTTGGTGCTTCGGGATCTTCCGGTGACTGCAATCCATTCACCACAATCTCCCAAAGACCGGGGTGAAGACCTACAAGATAGGCACTCATCAAGTGCTTCCACTTGGCGAAGTTTGTCCCATCAAAATGAGGCAACTTGCCCGCGGGTATATTGATAAAGGACTTTTTGTTATGGTTAGACAAATAAGAATAATTAAAGGATACGGCGGCGTATTTGTTCTTATTGTTGTTGCTGCCCTTGTCATCACTATCCTTCTTCTTGTCCTTGCTCTTCACCTTCTTGCTATCTTTTGAAGCATGGTATGACACATCATCATCTCCATCATCCGAGCTACTAGAGAGCTCACTAGATGATGCATCATACTCATTCTTCTCTTGCTCTTGAGCTCTTGCTGCCCTTCTCTTGGCTCTTGCCTCTCTTGTGATTCTTCTTGCTTCTTTTCTCTTCTTCTTGTCTTTGAGCCGCTGCTCTTCCTTCTTCTTTTCCCTTGCTTCTCTTGTTGCGATCTTGGTGGTTTTTCTTTCTTTTCTTGCCTTTCTTCTTTCAGCATCGGTGGTCTTGGGTTCTTTGATGGTGGCATCACTTGCTGTCGACATGGACAGCTCGATGTTGCTATCGACATCCTCGACATGCACACCACTTGCATCCACAACGCGAACGGTCTTTGAACCTTCTCCTTCTTCCATACTTCACGCGGTGAAGCGTATACGAAGCAACCTAGCTCTGATACCACTTGTAGGATCTATAGGAAGATAAAGAAGGCCTAGAGGGGGAGTGAATAGGCCTGTAAAAATTCAACTCAAAACTCTATTAGAACAGAGGGCGGCACTACCGCTCTTCGAAAATAAATCTAACACAGTTGAGATTTTGCAGATATGAACCTGACCACACTAGCTGCTTAATCCTGCAATATAAAGACAAGATCCAGTTCGAAGACTGAATACCACAGAACCTCCACATGAGAGTGGATCGAGTAACTAAACCCTAACAGCAGCTAGTAATGAGCTAAACCAGCAAGTAAACAAGATGAAGCACGCAAGACGCAAGATTTATCCCGTGGTTCAGCTCACCACCAAGGTTTGCCTAAGTCCACGTTGTTGAGGAAGCCACAAAAGGCTTAAGCTTGCCACAAAGGCTTGCCTTACTCTCATTCTCAAATCAAGAGAGTGAACTCTTGAAGTGAGGGGTGATTTCTTAGCTTTCGAATGAGGTTACAAACCTCCCAAGGCTGCCACACGAGTTGGCAAGCACAAGGGCGACGCCTAGCCGGCTAGGAGTAAGCTCCAAGAGTAACAAACCCTAGAACCACCGGTCAAACGTGAACCAAATGCTCTTAGACTTTGGGAATCAGTGGATCTCCTCTCCAATCGAGTTTTGCTGCCTTTTCTCTCAAGTTTTGATGGTTGGAATCAAGGATTAGCTTGAGGGATGGAGGAGCAACAATGGAGGAGAAAAGTGAGCTTTGGTTCTATCTTGTTTCGAGCAGAATGACTCAGTGGAGAAGATGACCGTTGTGGGCCGGGCCTGAAGGGTATAAATACCCCTCGAGCCCAACGGTCAGTTAAGGGCGGCACTGTCGCTCTTAACAGGGCGGCACTACCGCCCTAGCCAAAACAGGTAAGATGATATGAAATTTGGCTGGCTGTTTTGACTAGGTGAGATGATGTAAATCTGTGAATTTGAGCATCTGGTTCAACAGTTGATCAACTGTCCTAAAATCCCTCTTAATAGTACGGCTTTTCCTAAACTCAATTTCAAAACATAAAAGAATTTAAACCTCCTTTGAGCTAGGTCTAGCCACCTTTTGTAATTAGGACACCTGCAACCTGTACATCATCCTTATTTTTCGATTCCCTGCTTGTCATCTCGATAAATCTCATTGTCATCTCGCTAAATCTCATTAGTCCTCTAATTTGGTGGTCATCAATGTCAAAACCCACAATAGTGCTTGATTGCACTTACAACTAGTCTCTACCTCCTCCCAAATAATATGTAATTGCCTAGAGAAAATTGGTTGTAGACATCTCTTGTAAGGATTCGACTAGGGTTGATATTATTTTTGTTGGATCTTACATCCAATAAAAGAGATGAACATAACATTTATGGTTCATTTCCATAAGAATCGACAAGTTTATAAGAACCATAGGTTTCATGGTTAGCAGAGATGGATGTACTTCCTACCCACTAGGTATTGAACCTCAAGTTTAATGCTGTACATGTCTCATTATTGTGACTATTTCTTTTAGTAGTACAAGGATGTGCTAGCGAACAACGTGTCTGTGGTGTCATTGTCAATATCAAGATTTGTTGGTCCAATCTCACATAGGTGTTTCACATTGGCATGGTGTTCATGACTTCATCAATCCCAATTATTAGTCCAATTTCCCTAGTCGTTCATAGGGTTAGGGTTTATATTACTTGTATAGGCATTTGCATATGTACATGTTTCAAGAAAAAAAAGAATAGACATGTTTCCTAATTTAAGCTTTGCATAGCAATCAATTGAAGGTACTAAATTCAATAATTTACTGTGATTTCAACTAGCTTGCTATTATCATATATCTAAATTAGAAGTATGATAAATATCCCAAACATAAAATGAATCTTTTGCTCTACATCATGAATACCATAAAATGAATCTTTTGCTCTATAGCACGGATACCATAAAATGAATCTTTTGCTCTATAGCATGGATATGAGCATAAATGTTGTTTTGGACTCATTTAGGAATCACAGAATTGAATCTTTCATTAAACTCTAACGATGTCAAGGATAGTTAATTATCTAGATCTAGGGGGGAAGTTGATTTTGAAATTTTTGTCAAGTGACTCCGTGGTCTTTGTTTGGCATATGGTCAAAGATGTACATGATGTTAGTGAGACTAGAGTAATAGATCTCAACTTGTTGGTGAAATTTTGCATCTCTATTTTTACCTTTTACAATTCTTGTACAGTGGTAAATTAAATAATGGTCACTTTTTTATCAATGTAACTTAAATCCCGGATTCTCATGTCAGTGATTAAATATATATTGTACTACTTTCTTTCTCTACACCCTTATAAAAATGTAGGTCAAATACATTATTGTCATTTTCCCAACTAGCATAGTTGTTTTCTGGTCTCTAGATGATCTATCATAGACATCACATTATTCTAGCAATGTTTAAATATTAAACAGTGCAATTGACCTTGGTCAACAAAATATATTGGTTCCTTTTCTAAAATACAAATTAACCAATAAAATACTACTATATTCTCGGTGCTTACAAGCATCACAAAATTAAGCACATCCTTGTAAACAATCATTCTATACATCTCCCACCTACCCACCCACCACAAAAAATGTACAATTTAATTTAGCAATCTAAACTATATTCGAACGGTTCTCATATTCCATCCCATATTATTACCTATCCTTAAATATATGTATTTTATATCCCAAAGACCCCGCCCCCAACAATATGTAATTATATATGTAAAATTTTAGCTTTTAGGGTTCAGAGTTGGGTAAGTCCTATTTCTTGTGGACACCTATTATGCAGATTTGACTATGGTGCTCGTGCTTTATTAGATATGGTATCTAATATTATGATAGATCCGAGGTATGTTCCCTTTGCTTATGATGAATCAATAGGTTTCTAGTTTGAAGCTTTGCATATGAATCAATTGCTTTCAATCAGTAGGTTCAAGGTTTTAAATTTGAAGCTTTATTAGGATTCAACTGAGGTATCATGGATTTCAACTTGAAGTTTGTTAAGTATATATCACTTATAAATGAATCTTTTCCTCTAAAATGTTTGAACTAAAAGATTGTTTTTCATTTATGAGTCCTAGAATCCAAATTTTTCTTTGAAATTTAGCGAAGTTAAGAATACACGGTACCTTCATCTAGAGGGACGGTTGTTTTTTGAAATTGTGGACACAAGTGACGTCGATACTCTTTTATTTCCAGTGAGTGACATGGACAGTCTTCGTTTGCGGCGGACACTCATTGGTGATTTATTATTTTCCCGTCTAACCAACATGCGGTCGGGGAACCTATAAGTAAGTGACTCAAGTCGCTAATTCTCAACTCAATGATGAATACATTTTCTAGTTGAATACATTTTGCACAACTTTTTGTTGCTCTTCACACCCTAGCTTGTAAAAAAGGTAACTTTTTGTTGCTTAACTGGATAGTTGTCTTCTGATGTTTTACTGGATGAGCTGCAGAATAAAGACTTGCCTTACATAACCTCACTAAAATTGATGTGTGTTTGGTGGTTTTATGAATGGTGAACAAATGAACTAACTTTCGGCAGTGTTTAACTATACTAAGCAATGCCATCAAAACTTTATAAGCAAAACCAATTGAATTTCCTTTTCTCAGATTAAAATTAGCCAGCAATATTCTACTAATAAGTTCTCCTAAAAGGTAAAAATTTGAATACATCCACCTAATCACAGCTCTACACTTACATCTCTCCTAAAAAATGGTACCACTTAATTAAGTTGTTAAATACTACAGGCAAATCCTTATCATAATCCATCATCCACCTAATCATCAGCTCCTATATTTGCCCTCCCATACTCCCATTCCATCAAACCAAATTACCCCTGCACGTGTGGGTGCACTTCCGGCGATGGGGTGCTCAAGCTCGAGGGAGGCGGGCGGCGGTGTGGTTTCGTCGTCCGCGGCGCCGGCGGAGCGGCGGCAGGGCCTGCGCTCGCGCTCCCTCGGCATGTGCCGCGGCGGGCACGACAGCGGGCACGCGTACACCGCGCTGCCGTTCGAGGAACCGGTGAAGGGTGCCCGTGATCCGGCCGCGGCTGAGGAGGCGCTCCCCGGCGAGGATGCGGCGGCGGAAGAGAAGCAGCGGAGCACGGTGGCGGCGGTTATGACCAGCCTCGAGGATGCGGCGTCGTCGTGGACGGCACGATGGAGCGCAGAACCTGCGCCGTCGTCTCTGCCTCCGGAGCCGCTGCCTGCGCTTGACCTTGACCCGGCGGTCTTGCCTGGGTTCTGGCAGCCCGTGCAGGTGCCTTCGCCGTCGCACCCGGCGCTTTTCTACCCGGAGCAGGAGAACCCGGCGCCACAGGAGGCCTGCGACGATCACGTTGACATGGGGACGCCGGCCGCCCGCGACATACCGGAGGTCACTGACTTCGTCCGCGCGCGCGTCGACGTCGACGAGTTCGATGAAAAGCTGGAGAACAAGAAGGCGGCGGCGGTGGCGGCCGAGGAAGCCCCTGACATCGTCGACGACGGCGACCAGGTGACGGCGCCAAGGCGCCGGCTGCCGCGCGCCGGGAAGCCCGTGGTGCTGTACCTGACCAGCCTCCGCATCGTGCGGCGGACGTTCGAGGACTGCCGCGCCGTGCGTGCCATCCTGCGGTACTACCGCGTGCGCCTGGACGAGCGCGACGTGTCCATGCACGCCGCCGTCAGGTCGGAGCTGCGCGACCTCCTCGGCGACGGCTTCGAGGGGCCCGCGCTCCCGCGCGTGTTCGTCGACGGCGGCTGCCACGACCTCGGCGGCGCCGAGGACGTGCGCGCGCTGCACGAGACCGGCGAGCTCGCGCGCGCGCTGGCCGGGTGCGAGGCAGCGCGGCCCGCCGGCGCCGGCGCGTGCGCGGCGTGCGGCGAGGCGCGCTTCGTGCCCTGCGAGACGTGCCACGGCAGCTGCAAGGTCTTCGTCGACGACGAGAGGTGCCGCCTGCGCCTGGCTGGCTTCTTCCGTCAGTGCCCGGACTGCAACGAGAATGGGCTCATCCGATGCCCCGTGTATTGTTACTGATCGATGACTGTTGGATCTACTTAGATTGCAGTGTTGTAATCTGGAAGGAAAATGTAGATTGCAGGTTTTTGCAGTGTTTGTCAGGTTGCTTGTTCGTAGCTGGTGATCAGAATCTTTAGTTGGGTGTAAAATTAGAGCTACTGTGACAAGGTACTCTAGATATGTGAAATTGCAGGTTCTGTTTAGTCTTCTTTTACCATTTCCAGTTGATCTTTATTGTCGGGAAACACTTCAGATGCAATGTTTATCTCGCGTATATGCATTGCAAAATCTTATGGATTATATTCTGGATTGTGCATATATATATATATATTGAGCACCGTTTTGCGAGGATTTAGATTGCGTTTCTCAAATCAGTCATCAAGAAATAGGAGTCCCTGCCAAACGGTGTTATGGCAAGTGAACGAATAATCAAACCAGAGAAACCTCCCCCCTTTTTTTTTACAGTAGCCACTAGGATGAAAATCAGGTACATGCAGTTTCTAGTGATTCTGATTCATTTCCCTCACCTTCCAACTACCACTGAATCAAAAATCAACCAAAGAGCCAAAACGGTTTCACAAAAGTGTTCCGGATTCACATAGAAACGTTTCCAAAGAGAAACCAGATATAAGAGCAAGTATAATAGAGGGAATGCTAAGGAGGAGGAGAGAGGAGAGGAGAAAGAAGAGAAGCGGGTTCACAAAAACCAAGAAACTTTGTGAGAGAGAAATGTGGATCCTGACATAAACCAACTACTCCCTCAGTGTCTAAATTATAAGATGTTTTAGCTTTCTAGATACATCGTTTTTTTGTTAAGTATCCAGACATAGTGTATATCTAGGCGCATAACAAACACTATGTATCTAGAAAAAACAAAACGTCTTATAATTTGAATTTAGGAAGTACTATGTAAATGAGCTCATGGGTGGGCTGTAAATATCCATACAGCCAGCTGAAGGGTGTATTATTAGTATTGCTGTAAAAGATTTCTAAGAAAACCTATAGAACCCTACCAAATGGGCCTTCATGATGAAAATATGTGCTAACATATAGCCAATATATCCATAAATAAGCTTAGGGTTTAGGAATTTTTCTCTAGAGTCGGTTTCATGGGCCCGTGGTCTTCATATTTTTCACATGATCTGTCCCCATCCTACTCTCATGACTCATGTTCATTCCTCTTGCCTATTCATCGCTCTCTCTCCGCACCTTCTTTGTCTCACTTGAGTATATTATGCAATTTTGCATAGAGTAGAAATTAAGACGGCTACATCGTCTCATGTTTAAGACTCATGTTTAAGATGACTACATCTCACATTTGAAAATTGGTCGAAGCCTCGGCTAGGAATTTGACTTAAACTCCAACTCCTTCCGTAGGGATTGAATCAGTATTATTTGGTGTGTCTTAATCCAGGGGTTCGTGAAAAAGACATATGTATGATACAAGGACAAGATGGTGAAAATTAAGTGATATTCTCATTGTGTGGTCTACATTACTAGCTTTTTGGCGCCAAACTCTATGTTTGTCTATGTGTGGTAGAACTTTGATGACATGCTGGTATATATAGCTCCATTCTCCTACTTTTTTGAGGTAGGACAGGGAGAAGGATTAATTTGAACCACGCCATTACAAATGTCACGGTTTGGAGATCTGCCATTATTATTCGGCTATTTGGATTCTTACCATTACAATTGGCTCTCTACCCGAACTATACCATTTTCTACGATGCCGCCGCGCCGTAATATTCAAATAGAAAATAAGCGCCAAAATGAGTACATAAAAGTTCAAATAGTTTCAAGCTAGGCACCATAAAATAGAACATGATTTTTTTTAAAAAAAAAATAAACTAGTTTCTTAATTTCTGAGGTAAAAAATTCTATGAAATTTCTAAGATTAATCCAAATTTTTGGATTTTTAAGTGCATTTGTATGTAAAAATGTTTGGGTAATTTTTTGAAAATTTTATTTTTATGAATTTTTGGATATATCTTAAATTATTTTTAGTCTGTGAACTTTCAATTTAGTTCGATTACCACCTTTGACATGGTGTCATATCATTAAAACCATCCAAGGTGCAAAACCAAATGACTTTAAAAATTGATATGAATAAAAAACTTATATTTTATAGTTCATGTAGCAAAATCGAATGACCGCGATAACTGAGAGGAAGGTAAATTAGATTTTTTCCCCCCATTTTTCCCCGGTGTCCAATAGCAAAAAGAATGCCAGCAGCCGTAGAGCTCATGGGCCAAAGCGTGCCTATACCTCAAGCCCGATACGATGCATAAAAAAGGACAGCCCGCTACCGCAAAGTTTGCGCATGGCCTAATGACGAAGCAGGCCCACTAGAAACGCGAAACAAGCAAAGACCATCAGTGATCCGGGCCTGACCAAGCCTGGGCAGCCGCGCGCCGCCTTCACGGGCCTCCACGTCGACCGGACAGTTGGGTCCCGCTCGTGCTCCGCGCTGAGCTCTCGTCCCGACCTGACCTCCACCTCGGCTAGGGACCAGAACTAGCTAGGGTTTGTGAAATCGTGACGCGAGCACTTGAAGATTCGCGAAAGCCAGCGCAACCCACCCGCAGCGATGGCCACCGTCCACCCCCAATCGCCGGCGGGCCCCACCACACCTCTTCCGCAGGAGGAGCGACACGGGTACGCCGCCCCGGACCCGCCCGCCGTCGTCTCCGGCGAACCCGCCGCCACCGCCGCGGTCGGAGCGGAGGCGGGCGGCGAGATCGCCGCGCTCGACAAGCAGCTCGCCGTCGTCGTCGTCGGCGGCGGCGAGGAGAGGAGGCCGGGCGGGGCCGGGGCCGGTGCCGGGGCCGCCAGCGCAGGCGGGGGAGGGAAGCTGGCGGCGGAGGCCATGCGCAAGTACGCCGCCCCGCGGTCGTCGCGGTTCCACGGCGTCACCAGGTATGATGAGCACGGCGGTGTGCTGCTGCCCGCCTGTCAGTCAGTGGCTTTGAGGTTGTGTGCTCTGGTTTGATTTGGGTGGTTGCTGCTTCTGCTCTGATCCGGGGCAGGCTCAAGTGGAGCGGCAAGTACGAAGCGCACCTATGGGACAACACCAGCCAGGTCAAGGGCCGCAAGCGCAAGGGCAAGCACGGTATGCACTCTACCAACCTCGAACCCGAGCTCTCGCTCACTGTAAAATCGTCTGAATATTTTCGGCTACAACATTGCTGCGGTTTAGTTAGGAATGCCAATGCCATGTGCACACGATTGTCTTTGGAAAGAAATTGTATGCGACGGCCATCGCACAACACCCTACCGTGCGACACCCTGTGATTGTTTGACGCGTGTATCCAGGTCCCAACAAGTAAGGCAACCGCCGAATGGAGCGAGTAGCACAGCGCGTGATTCCTGCAAAGCTTGTGTGTATCCAAACGACCGAATGGAGCGAGTAGTACACGTGTCATGGGATCACAGGGTGTCGCACACTGGGTGCTGTGCGACGGTGTCGCATAAATTTTTTTTCCCATAGCCTTTGGTAATCGGCGGCACAAGTATACTTAATACCAAACTGCAAGATCAGCTGTCCAGAATTATGTTTCTTTTTTTTCTGCAGCACATTAGATATTCAGTGAGATATAACTACAATCTATTCCTGGCCTGTTTTCAGGGTGTCTTAATTGACACATCATGACTTCAATACACAAACCAATGGTCAGCAAGTCACCTAGTATTCCCTATAATACTTGTAGTTGAATAGATGGGGGTAGATCATGGGACTAGGATAGTACTAAAAATTGGGCTAACAAAGTTAGTACCTATGGATGCATCAGGTACCCATCAATCTTGTATTTGTGAATTGATGATCAAGACGAGTGTTATGCTTAACAATGCATTATTATGGTTCATGATTTTATCTGTTGCCTATGTAAATATTTGGATGAAGAGTCATCAACACCTGAAAGCTTACTTGTCCAGCAGTCCTCAAATTTCCTGTCTTCTTTAGCTGATCCTTCATTTAATGTTGTGCATTGAACATGGCTTCCGTTCTTGGCTGTCTATTGTGATCTTCAGTATACTTAGGTGAGTGTTGCTATTCATCGAAGGGGGATCATTTGGAACACAAAAGCTGCTCAAGTTTTAACTTCTTTTCTGCCATTACAGGCAGCTATGTTACTGAAGAGCAGGCTGCAAAGGCACATGATTTGGCTGCCCTTAAATATTGGGGCACAGGACCAAACACCAAACTGAACTTCAATGTAAGAATCACATGCTGTTTGGCACTTACTGATATGCTAGGAACTGGCATTCCTTGTTCAAGAACTGAAAAGGAAATTGCATTAATAGCTATTACGTGTTACCAGATTTCTGATTATGAGAAAGAAATTGAGGTTATGAAGACCATGTCTCAAGATGAATTTGTGGCCTACATAAGGAGGTCAGTGGTACAGTCAAAAAAATTATATTGTAGTAGTTATGTGCTGACTATTTTTTATTGTAATGGTTTATTATTATAGGCAAAGCAGTTGTTTCTCGAGAGGTACCTCATCATACCGGGGTGTAACCAGGTGCTATTCCTGCTTTGCTAAACGAACTGATAATCATTTGGTTTCCTTTGAACGGAGCAATTTTTTGTGTTGTGCTTAACCAGGGAAGTTTTAGTTGTCTGCTGCATGTTTGCAACTTTCTCTAATCAATGTTTTACGAACAGACGGAAGGATGGTAAGTGGCAAGCAAGAATTGGTAGGATTGGTGAGAGTAGAGACACCAAAGACATTTACCTTGGGACCTTTGGTGAGTGAAGTTTTGTAATTTACTACTTATACCTTGTGGAACTTCCAAAGGTTTTCTATCAGCTAGAAAGCTACTGCCGCAATTATCCTTATTTGAAACTGACTATGGTTTGCAGAAACTGAAGAAGAGGCGGCAGAAGCTTATGACCTAGCAGCAATTGAGCTTCGTGGTGTTCATGCTGTTACCAATTTTGACATTAGTAACTACTGTGAAGTTGGTTTGAGAAAACTAGAAGGCCCGTCAGAGGTGACGAAGCTGGATGGTCCATCGGAGGTTATGAAGCTCGCTGGACAGTAGATACTTGAATAACATGTAAATTAGTTTCTGTTTCATTTCTTTTGTTGTCATGTTTTTCTCTCCTTTTGGTATTCGTGGTACCCTTTTTTCCCCTTTTGTGAGTTCTCTCCTTGCCTTGTCAAGCCAGTATTTACTCGGCACCAAAGGACAATGTGATGTTGTATTTCAGCTTCGCAGAAAGGTATTACTAACTTTTGATGTCAGCTGTCACTGCAGAAGTCACATTGTCGTCGCTGGTTGGGGCGGTGGTTTTTACCGTGCTTTCCATGGACTTACACTACTGTTCAAGGATAAACATTCAGACTTCGAAATGTTGTACTGCAAGTCTGCAAATACCAAATAACATGATAGCTCCATTGTTCTGAGTTTCAGGGAACATGGGCTGATTGCAATTACTACTCCAGTCACTCAGAGCGGTGTGCCTCCAGTCATAAGAGAATGGCGTTTCAGATTGGGTGCAGTCTTATAACATTTAAAACTTGATTTGACACCCAATAGTGAGATTACAACCACCACCACAACAAAGCCTTTAAGTTCCAAATAAATTAGGGTAGGCTAGAATTGAAACCCAACATAAGCAATCAAGGTTCAGTCACGTGAATAGCTGTTTTTTAAGCACTCCTATCGAAGGCTAAGTCTTTAGGTATATTTCATTATTTCATCTCCTTTTATTGTCTCTATCTAAATCAACTTCGGTCTTCCTCTGCCTCTCTTCATGTTACTATCCTGGCTTAGGATTACACTACGCACCGGTGCTTCTGGAGGTCTCCGTTGGATATGTCCAAACCATCTCAACCGGTGTTGGACAAGTTTTTCTTCAATTGGTGCTACTCTTAATCTATCACGTATATCATCATTTCGAACTCGGTCCCTTTTTGTATGACCGTAAATCCAATGCAACATACGCATTTCCGCGACACTTATCTGTTGAACATATCGTCTTTTCGTAGGCCAACATTCTGCACCATACAACATAGCAGGTCTAATAGTGAGATTGGCCATTTAAAATTTAACGTTAATAGATTTGAACCAAGGTAGTTATGTATCATATGATTTTGTTTTTCAAGATGAGCTCGGCCTCTGCAGAACAATGGCTGGGTGTACCATGGCTGATAAGTCAGACTTATAAAATTTTAAGCTAGGATGGGTGAAGTCATTCATGTCTGGGTGTTTAGTTCGGGGACATAGGGACGGAGTCCTAGTGCTTAGTCAGGGAGCACCAGGGGTGGAGTCTAGTCACATCTTATCTTTCGGGCAAGTTCGATCTCATAGTTTGGTTGCTTTGTCAGACACTGTGTAAACTCACCAAGCAAGGTTATGGAAGGGTGATGTTAGCTTGGATATCGAGCTTATGCTTCTTCTTTTTTTCTTTTTTTTTTTTTCTTTTTTTTGCCGAAGCAAGAGAATAGAAATGCCTTGCCTAATCTGACAAGGCAAAGCTTGCCCAAACAAGCAAAGGAAGGCAAAATTGTTAAAAGAAACAAACATGCACCTTGTGGCCTTGTCTTCAAACCACACACAGTATTGGTTTTTGAGCTTAAAGCTGTGGCACAATTGTGCTGCAGCACATACAAGGAATTCAGTTCTTTATCCGTCGATGTTTCTAACGAGGGAGAAATGAAACAGAATATGAACATAAGTTGCATTTCATTACATAGCGTGCAAAAATTTTCTAGTTTTTGTGCTCAAATAATTACATTACATGCATTCAAAAAAGAAGTAATTACATTACATATACCACTAAAACATGCATACAGTTCCTACATAAACATTCGTCAATATAGCTTGTCAGTTCTTGGTACGTCCAGTTTCAGACTCTAGATCTTTCAGCTCAGCAGAACCAAGGTTGAGGTGGCTTAGGCGAGAGACATGCAAGCAAAAAAATCTGTTTGGTGGCTGTGCATCTCCTAATCCTTTCCTGTTTTCATGACCTCTATAACTTTAATTGCCCTGACGATTGCAGCCAAGGTGGAGCCTCCGCACTTTCATCTTTCCATTCAGTGCCAGCGCAAGAACATCGTACTCTTCGACGTACCATAGCTCCGATATCGTCGCCTGAAAACAGTGATGATAAATAGGTAACCATGGATGCTATGTTTGCAGTCAACCAACTCATGGGTATGAGCAAAAAGAAGTCTACCTGGAAGCCACGAATCTTCTCATTAACTTGAACAACCAGCTCATGAAAGAACTTGACATGATCAAAAGATGATGCACTTTGCTACAAGAGGGTACAGAAAATGTTGTGTCACGTGAGATTAAATAATAAAGAATTAAATGATGTACCAAAGCAAACATTCAAAAATTATTACTGCATTATCTGCTCTAGGATTACTGTACTTCCATGGACTATCATGTAGATAAAATTAGATGATGAAAGATGCCCTAAAAAAGGTGAAGAAAGTATTTAAAGCTTTTGTTTGGTTATTACACATCCTTAAGTAGAAAAATAAAGAGGCAACATCCTCTATAAGCCACAGCAGTTCCAAACACTCATATCCCCTGCAGTCAAGGCATACTGTAGAGGCATTAAGAGTCACTGGCATGTGGGCCAGAAGGGAGAGCAGGCCCACATATCAGTAACTCATAATGTCTCTGCAGAGGATATGAGTGCATTTCGAGCAGACCCTGCATCCCAGTCTGTGGGTTTTATTATGTGGTTTTACTTAAGAACCTAGCTGCCCAGTAGTTTGATGTAAACATCTTCTAGCGACCAAAATGGAAACAAATACTCCATATGGCATCGGTTTAAAGCATATTTTGGAAGGTGGGAGTCTTTAAAAGTATATTTGTACCTCTATTTTCTCTTACAACAACAATATATTGTCAATTGCTGCAAAATCAACACCATCCTAAAAATATTTTGAAGTTTGAATATGAATTTATCGATGCAATTTTTGTACACTAAACATATGTAACTTAGCAGATTCTTGGTCAAAGCTTGCAAATTCAACTTTCAAAGATTAGAACTAGCCTTAGATTGATGGAAAGATTGAATTGTGCAAACTGCAAAGTAAAAATTGATTATAAGTGGGATACCTCTTCTGGGAGCTTGGGATGTCCCAGAATTCGTGCAAAGGAGGTGTGAAGCAGCACAGGGTCATACTGTCAAATTCAAAAATCAGGTTAGGCAACAGATTCATTGAAATGTGCAAGATAATATGTAAATAGCCATCCGTACCAATAACTACATACTGCACCACTATATTTGAACATTAAATTTAGCTGGGTACCAAAATCAATTTGTTAGGCAAATGTTGTTCTTTTGTTGATGTTTCTTTATCAAGATAATGCTATCTCTTGGAAATGGAGTAAAAATTGGTTAACAGTTCTATCAAATTTTGAGCTGCTCATACCAGTTGCTTTTGAGGTGCTCGAGGAAGAGCTTCTCTCAATCTTGAGCGGATTTCAGCAGGATCAGTACCAGATTCAACCTAAACACACCAAATATAACTACCTATATTTCAGTTCGAATACTTCTCAGGAACTCAGGGTAGAGAATTGCATGGTAAGGTTACTTGAGCTTAATATCAAACAGAAAAAATCAGACAACAGGGTCTCTTCAGATCCAAACCTGCCACAGTCCAAGAAGCACACCAGTTGAGGTCAAAACCACTCTATCCAAAACAATTTTAAGTGGGCAAAGATTTTCGGCAACTCTTTTTACTGCCTCCACTTCGGCTTCAATCTCAAGGACATCACATATAGATATGTCAATAAAACTTCCAACAGCCATGCTTAAAGAGGTTAATCAGAGCGTGCGCTCACCTCATCCTCAGTTGCTACGATGGGCTCCAAGTGATGGGAGGCATGAAACATGCTGAAGTGGTACATGCTTGTATTTTGGAACCAGATAGCTGCAAAACAAATCAACCAATCAAAGTGTTCAAGATCAAATGCTTCAACAAAGTTGTCGGTTTCTGTGGCACTAACCAAGCAATCAGCAGGCAACTGAACTGATAAGTGATAACTCTATTTAGCAGCATTCAAATGTCAGGCCAATTGAATTCAGTAGATGAAATTCTACAGTTCTACATGTATGGGATGCCATAGCATAACAGAAGAAGCTGTACCTGTACCTTGGTCAAAATAAGGAAGAAACACGTCCTTGACAGCTTTCCTGCAAACCCAAAACATACTGAATTAGTTCTTCTCTCTTGCAGGACTGGCCAACTATAGGCTAACTAACTTAGTTCTTCTCTCTTGCAGGGAGAGAGAGCATCATATTTCAGGAACAATTAACAGAATTGCAAGTTGCCAAAAGATTTGGGCAAAGCACATCACTCACGAGATCACAGCGGCGAACTTGGGATCCATATAGAGCACATTCGCGCGCACTGGCGGGTCGGCGGCCTGCGAAGCACATCTCAGTTCAGCGACACCATCCCAGCCAAGCACATGTCAACCAACGTGAGCAGCGAGGGGGTGAGCCCGCACCTTGAGCCTGGGCACGACGGTGCCGTCATCTGCGGTGTCGAAGAGGTCCGAGAGCGTGAGCGACTGCGACGTCACGCCGCCCTTGAGGAACGCCGCGCCGCGCTCGTCGAGGTCACGCGCCATCTTCGAGTAAAGCTCGTCGCGCCGGGCCGGCACCGAGCCGGAGCCGCCTGACGCAAAAAAAAACAGAAAATGGGGGGCGAGATTTCACGACTGGAACAAATTATTGGTGGAAATCAAGAAACTGAGCGAATGGATGGGTTAAGGGGGTGGTTTGTTACGAGGGGAGACGGGAGGGTAGGAGGAGCCCATGGGCGGCCAGCGGAGGAGGACGAGGAGGAGGAGGGCGGCGGTCGGAAGGAACCAGACGGCGGTGCCCGGAGATCTGGGACGCGCGGAGAAGCTGCTCAGGGGCCTCGTGGCCATCAAATGTGGTTTGGTGACTACTGCTTGATCCGTGTCACCGTGTGGCCATCAGTAAGCTTTATCAATTCTACTGTATTGCCATACTGCCGAATCGGAGATATAAAAACAGGGGGAATTCCTGGGCCTGGTTTAGTATT